AAAAGCAAAGAGGTGGTTTCCAGGTGTGCTACTATGTAATATTCATTTATTGCCGGCACTATTTGGATCATTATTTTCTTTGTGTACATACAATTAGTCATCTTTCTATCATACCCTACCTAAACCTTGTACTGTCTTCACAGCTGACTAAATGACCAAAATACTTATCTTTTCTTTCAGTTTCTTTTTTCATGATTATGATTGTTGGTTTATTTCCAGACTAATTTCAGATGTTACTGAGAATCTATTAGTTTATTGCCCCACATAGTATACTAGGTTTAGGTAATATATTTTTAGTTTCATTAAAAATAGTAAGAGTAGTTGCAATGGCTAACATATACTAAATGTTTATTATGTGTTAGATGCTTTTACATATTTTTCTAAGTCTCACACTAACCTAGCCAAGCCACGTGTTATTCTAGTTTTACAAATGGGGAAACTGTCCATCAGAGAGGTTAAATAATTTGTTTAAAGTCACACAGCTAATGTGAGTGATAGAATTAATATACTCAGGACATTTTTTTTTTTTTTTTTTTTTTTTTTTTTTTTACTCAGGACATTTTTATTCTAACACCACAGATCTTTTTGACCTATACATTGTTGTTCTCTGGTTTTGCTTTGGATTTCACAGCTCTGCTTGCTTATTTTCTTTTTCTTCCAAGTTTTTATTTATTTTTCAGTTAGTTAACATACAGTGTAGTACGAGTTTCAGGTATAGAATTGAGCAATTCATCACTTACGTGTAACACCCAATACTCATCACAAGTGCACTTCTAAATAGCTGTCACCCCTTTAACCCATCATACTTCCCACCTCCCTTCCAGCAATTCTTAGTTTCTTCTCTGTAGTTAAAATTCTGTTTTATGATTTGCCCCCCTCTCTCCCCCTGCTCCATATTCATCTGTTTTCTTAAATTCCACATTAGAGTGTAATTATGTGGTATTTGTTTTTCTCTGACTTATTTCTCTTAGCATAACATTCTCTAGGTCCATTCAGATCTTTGCAAATGGCAAGATTTCAGTCTTTTTTTTTCTGAGTAATATTCCATATTCCACACACACGTATATATGTACATACATAACTTCTTTATCCATTCATCAGTTGATGGACATTTGGGATCTTTCCACAATTCCGCTATTGTTGGTAATGCTACTATAAACATCAGGGTGCATGTACCCCTTTGGATCAGTATTTTTGTATTCTTTGGGTAAATAACAGTCCCAATTGCTGGATCATAGGATAGTTCTATTTTTAACTTTTTGAGGAACATCCATATTGCTTTCCAGAGTGGCTGTACCAGTTTGCATTCCCACCAACAGTGCAAGAGAATTCCCTTTTCCCTGTATCCTTGCCAAGGTCTGTTGTTTCATGCGCTGTTAATTTTAGCTGTTCTGAGTGGTGTGAGGTGATATATCCCATTATAGTTTTGATTTGTATTTCCCTAATGATGAGTGATGTTGAGCATCTTTTCATGTGTCTGTTAGCCATCTGTATGTCTTCTTTGGAAAAATGTTTGTTCACGTCTTCTGCCTGTTTTTTAACTGGATTATTTGTATTTTTGGTATTGAGTTTTATATGTTCTTTATATATTTTGGATACTAACCCACTATCAGATATGTCATTTGCAAATATCTTCTCCTATTCCAAAGTTCACCTTTAGTTTTGCAGATTATTTCCTTTGCTGTGCAGAAGCTTTTTATTTTGATGAAGTCCCAATAGTTTATTTTTGTTTTTGTTTCCCTTGCTTCCCTTCTCTTTTTCCTTTCCATTCCCTTGTAAGAAGTTGTTAAGGCTGATGCCAAAGAGGTTCTGTTTGTGTTCTAGGATTTTGATGGTTTCCCATCTCACACTTAGGTCTTTCATCCATTTTGAATTTATTTTTGTGCATGGTCTAAGAAAGTTCTTTTGCCTGTTCCTGTCGAGTTTTCCCAACACTATTTGTTGTAAGGTCTTTTTTCCATTGAATATTCTTTCCTGCTTTGTCAAAAAGTAGTTGACCATATAGTTGTGGGACAGCTCTGCTTCTGCTTCTTTACTTGTGCTCCTTTCCACTTGGTTATGCCCTCTCCCTACCAGGTCCAGCTTCTACTAGTAGAAATAGTCATCATTTAAGATCCATACCAAATGCTACCTTTTTCTAAAGTTTACCCTGCTAGCCACATTGGGAAGTAAATTCTGCCTACTTAAAACCACCACAAGAATCAAAGTATTTGTTGACTTGATATTATAGGCAAAAAAGCCATCTAAATGTAAGTACTACTGATGCATTTTTTAAAAATTGGAAGAACATGACAATATGGTAAACATGAGTACATACATGATCATTTTTGCTTCTTAGTATTTGGAAATGTTAAGTGTTATTGGTGGTATAACTAGATAGGACACGCATTTCTTTGGTGAAAAAGTTCATATTCTTGGTTATTTTATATATTTTTTTTAGAAAAAAGATAAGTAAAAGTCTGAGAGAGGTGGGAAGAACTTGCTGTTTTAATTTTGTTCACAGCAGTGGGTCAGGTTATGTTCTTTTGGTGCTAGCTTTGATAATAGGCTTAATACAATATTGGAATTCAACAATTGCTTATCTTTAGATATATATATTCCTTTGCATTTATAGCCATATGTGGGATTTCCAAACTGTTTAAAACAGGTTAAAAAAAATAAAACAGGTTAAGTTTATGGTAAATAGTCCTACTTCTCTCTGAATAGATTGTTTCCATTTATTACTTACTTTAGTATTCCATTGTTTTTGCTTTATTTGTTTTAAGTTTTTTTCTCGGATAAAAGCAATTAAACCAAAACTTACTATGAGGGAGTGGGAAATTCCATTATTGATAACCCCTTCAAATTTTGAGCATTTTTTGTTTTAAATCTCTTTAAGATTTGTATTTTTCCTCTTTTGACTTACTGATTTACTTTGACAAATAAAAAAGAACTTAAAACTTTTTATAAATACTTATATAGTGATAGAAATTTAGTTATAATTTACTTATAGGGTTTTGAACTCTTGAGTCTCTGTTAAACTAAAAGTTCTGTTTTTATGAGTTCTTCCATCTGAATTGTACATATCCTTGCTCTTAATTTGGCTGAGCTCTTGAAGCATCTTAAGATTTTTTTTTTGCCTCTTTTGAAGGAGAAATCCTTTTTATTAATAAGATAATCTCTTGAAAATGAATATCAGTCTTTTTCATCCTGTGTCACTTGGACCTTATGAAACCGTTAAGAAAGGAAAAAGTGGACAGGATACAGTAATGCAAACCTTTTGGGTTTTGAACTAAGACGGTAAAATTTCTACAAATTATGAGACTGACAAAAATACTTCTATTATTGAAGTTTAGAAATGTAATTGTTAAATATCCATTGGAATAGTAAATCAGATTAAAGTAACCAGTAATGTGATATTCTGAAAACATTTGACATTAACCAGAATATATTAAATAATTGAAGTTTTAGTTCTGGAGACAGGAATTTAAATTCTCTTTTATAAAATTCCTGTTACTGTTAATGCTAAATTATTATAAAAGTAATACATGTTCATTTAAGAGGACTAGTATAACATAATTCTAATAATAGCTAACTTTAGAGTTAGTTATATCTTGCTGTTCAGAGTAAACTTATTTATTCCTCATAACAATCACATGAGGCACGTATTGTCACTTTTCCTCTTTCATAGATGAGGAAACAGCACAGAGAAATGAAGGCACTTTTGAACTAGGCAATACACTATTTGAACCTAGCAGTCTAGCCTTAAGAGCCTGTGTGTCCTTAACTTCTCTCCACCAAGGTAGTTAAGAATTGGAGTTTTGGGAGCTCCTGGGTGACTCAGTCTGTTAAGCATCTGCCTTTGGCTAAGGTCATGATCCTGGGGTCCTGGGATGCAGTGCCACACCAGGGTCCTGGGATTGAGCCCCACGTCAGGCTCCCTGCTCAGCGGGGAGTCTGCTTCTCCCTCTACCCTTGCTCATGCTCTCTCTTTCTCTCTGTCTCTCAAATGAATAAATAAAATCCTAAAAAAAAAAAAAAAAAAAAAAAAAAAAAAAAAAAAAAAAAAAAAAAAAAACAAAACCCCAAGAGTTGTTTGGGGGATAAAATGAAATAATATATGTTAACTGCTTAGCATACTGTTTAGCAGACTTTATGTTCAGTAGATGATAAGTATTCTTATAACAAATACTGATGAACAAAACAGAAAAAAGTCACAAAAAGAAAATACGTTAGCATTTTTAGGTATATCTTCCCAGTCTTTTAAAACAGTCTTTCGGGCAGCCCTGGTGGCTCAGTGGTTTAGTGCTGCCTTTAGCCCAGGGCCTGATCCTGGCGACCTGGGATCGAGTCCCACATCAGGCTCCCTGCATGGGGCCTGCTTCTCCCTCTGACTGTGTCTCTGCCTCCCTCTCACTGCATCTCTCATGAATAAATAAATAAAATCTTTAAAAAAAAAATAAAACAGTCTTTCTTGATTTTATTAATATATCTTCTTATATTATTTTCTTCTTTGTATAATTTTTTGTTTGTTTATATTTTACACAAAGAGCAAGAAGGCTTGAATTTGTATCACTTAGCAGTAAGGCAAGCCTGTTTCAGTTTGTGTGCTAGCCAAAACTTTTTTTTTCTCCTTATGCTTAGGAGTTACTAAGTGGAGAGAGAAGAGGACATAGGAAGTACGTTTTTCTTTTTAAACAAAAATGAGATGATGTTTGAATTAAAAATCTACAGATCAATAAAATGTAGGATACTAGAAGTAGGCAAGAGAATATGTGCTCGTATTAATTTTGTTAAAAAAAACAGTGAAACACCAGTGTCAGAATAATTAGTTAACTGGATACACCATATCTGAATGAATGGTTCTAATGAATGTGGACTATTTCTTCTTGATGAGTGAGATTATAGAAGTCTGATTATATATTGCACTGTTAATGAAATTCACTGGGTGTGATATAACTAATCTCCCTTTCCATAGCCTTAGCAACAAATGTCTAATGGTCTTTTTTGTTTTTCTTTAGGTCTACACACAATGAGCTGGAAAAGAATCGGTGAGTAAGTGATGAGTGCAGCTTTGCAAACTTAATGTTTTTCCTGTGAAAATAATGTAATAGTACAAAGGTAGTTATAATTTTATTTTTTAAATGTATAGGATGATTCTGATATATATTCAATCCAAAAAATGACTTTTTCAATAGTAAGTTTATACTGTTTAAACTGGAGGACATCAATAAATTTTTAAGCTCATTTTATTTTTGAGTTTGTGGTATAGCTGCCTTTATGTTTCTGAAAACAGGTTGTGATAGCCTCATAACTTACATATGGTCAAGCTATAGGTAGACAGAATAAGCGTTTCTATAGTGTAGCTAATATTAACACAAATTGTAGGTCATTGAATTTCTCTCTTTGCAGTTTGTTCATTCATTTGTTCATTTATTCATGCACTCAACAAATCTTTATCAAGCGTGAAGTGTGTGCCAGGCAGGCATAATGCTTTAGATAGGAAATGCAAGAATGTGTGAGATAGTTTTTGCCCTTAAGGAACTTAGTTTCCTGGGGGAGACAGACAGGTAATTAAAATACTGTGTAGTGTGGTAAATATGGTAACAGAGAAGCAGAAGGTGCTGAAAGATCACTTTGGAGAGTCATCTGATTTTCTTTTGAGGGAGTCTTGGAAGGCTCTCCAGAAGACCGTGAATAAGTGAGTACTGTGTATTAAGGAAACTGCAAAAGTTTCAATATGAGTGCTGTACAAAAGATTGCAGCACAAGGCAAGCCAGGCCAGATATTGACAACTATGCTTAAGAGTTTGGGCTTCTAAGAGCAATAGGAAGCAGTGGAATGGTTTTAAGATGGGTTGTCATGTGATCAGATTTGTGCTTTGGAAAATCACTCTGGCCATAGTGTGAAGAATTAGTTGATTGGGAGAAGGTATCTCAGAGACAAGGAAACTCTTTTGGAAGCTATTGGAAGCTTCCAACATAAGGGATGATGGTAGCCATTGCAGATAGAAGTATACAGAATAAAGAAACTATTAGGGAGTAGAATCCGTAGGAATTGGTAGTTAGTTGACTGTGGAAGGTTAAGTTTTAGATAGTATTACCATTTACCAAGAAAAGGAATGCAGGAAGAGGACAAGTTTGGGAGACAAGATGAGGATTTGTATGAGTAAAATATTCTCTTTTTGATAAAGAGATTAGATTAATAAACAAGCTGGAATAATCTGCATCATTTTTGACAAGATTTCTATGACCTTCAACTTTTTGTCTTACCTTTTTTTGTGTGTGTGTCCTACCTTTTTTTAAATAGAAGGGTCTTTACAAATTGACTAAACCTAAACTACCTCATTGTAGGTGAATTTAAATGTCAAATCCTCTTGAACAGGCTTAGCATAGTCCTCCAGGCTGACTTGGTGGCTTTTACCACCTTGTTTGCACAATTTTCTGTTCATATCTCTTATTATAAAACTTAGGTAGTATAATTATCTGTTCATATGTCTCTTTCTGCTGAATGACTATGACTGCCTCAAAGGCAGGGATTCTGTTTTGTTCAGTTTTGTAACCTTAGTACCTAGCATTTGATGCATTTGTAGTAGATGATGGCTTTAATATTGAGTGAAGCCAATATTAAAACTGTAGCAAAGTTCAGTGGTCTAGTGAAAAACTGCTTTGTGGCAAAGCAGTTTGGCAAATCTTTCATTTTAAAGACTCTCCTTGAACTTCTGGTATATTAAAGGAAGTATCTGGCTAGTTTAAAAATGGCAAAAACACCAAGAAATGACAGCTCTGAGAATTCTAAAATTAAAACCTTATATTGTGCTTTAAATTAGACCATAGAGTGTATTTGGGGTCCCACATTTTAAATACTGATAAACATGTGGCTTTCATAATCCTTTCACTCACTTGAATGTAGTCTTTGGGAGTCTTTGTGAGACCCTAATTGTAAACCTATCAGAAGCCTTTAATACTGAAGAGACTGTTTTTTTTTAAAATATTTATTTATTAATGAGGGACAAAGAGAGAGAGAGAGAGAGAGTCAGAGACACAACACAGGCAGAGGGAGAAGCAGGCTCCATGCAGGGAACCCAACGCGGGACCCCATCCCAGGTCTCCAGGATCACACCCTGGGCTGAAGGCGGCACTAAACTGCTGAGCCACTTGGGCTGCCCTGAAGAAATTCTTCAGTAAACTATTGGGGTTGGAGCTTTTTAAATCTTTGAGTAAATGTTGTTTAATGCATTCCGCGAATCAATTCTGACTTATTGATAACTTTATCACTCATATTATTACTTTGATATGTCTTGAAGTTGTTTAACAGTCTGTGGGACTGTTATAGCATGTGTGGCTTTTGATTGCCTGGACATTATGTGAACTCCAGTGTCTCCAGTGAAGATGTTTTGTTCTCATTTTATTTACTTAGGTCTAAGGCTCTGGCTGATTTCCTACCCTACTCCTCTTGACATGATTCCCTCATCTTTTGTCTTCTTCCTTCCTCCTTTTCCTTCTCCCTTCCCCTCTTCCTTGAGGCTTAACTGAAAGGTAATATAGAATTAACCTTTCTAAGATGCATTTGTTTTTAAAAGGGGTAGTTATCAATATAAGTAAATCTCAGATTTAGAGGAATGTGTCAGAGGATGAGTGCCAAAGAAAGAGTCCAATTTAATAACCTGCAGTCCCCTTCTGAAAAGTTAGAGGCTTGTGATCTAGCAAAAAACCAAAAATAATGGTAAACACAACATGAGTTAAAGGGAAGGAGGTATTTTAGCCAAATTGCAAGAAGGCAGCACAGGATTATTTTTAAAATTTAAATCTATATTGTTATAACATTTTTAAGCCACACCTGTCCTATTTAATGGTTCTTCCCTCCCCACCTGCCCAAGGCACCATTTTTATTTGCTATATTAAAGAAAAAAACTTAACCTAGCTTTGCCATCCTTTAAAATAAATAGAATTTTGGCTTTGCCTTTCATTTGCTTTTGAGTGTGAATTTACATGAGGAAAGTAATTCACTGTCAAAAGGGTAATTTGATTTTGTCTTTATTCTTAGAAGATATTCCTGAAGTAATTCATATTCTTGAGATCTTGCCACTTTACATATGATACATTTATGTCAGGAGTTGTCTTTTTTTTTTTTAACTTGGTTTAAAATCTTGCATATAAAACTGTTCTGAGTTAGTGTATTTTACTGGGGCAAAGCAATGAGAATTAATGTAGATGATTTTAAATTGTTAGTGAATAACAGAAATTCCAGATTAAGGCTATCTTAAAGCCTGACGATTGTTGAAGCTCTTGATCTGGCTTCGAGGAGATAGTAGCCAACAAATGTTGAGGTTTATATTACCAGATGTCAGAGGAAACCTAATGGTGGAAATTTGGAGTCTAGCAGGCCCAATGTAGTTTGTTTTGGCTTACAGTTACTTCACTATGCAGATAGACCATTAGGGAGCTTGGGGTATTTTCAGGACTAATAAAGGAACTCCAGTTTTCTTAGATAAGTCCTGGGGGCTTATTTTTGCCTAAAACGTTGATGGTTACACTGAGCCTAGTCTGGATGGTTCAGAGCATTTGTTACTTGTATATTCACCTTGTCCCCCTAGACCCATCATAGCTTGTAACTGGCTCTGGAGGTGGAAGTAAAAGGGGAGCAGAGTACCTTTAGATGTTCTGCATTCCTTAGGAATCTATATGTATCATCTCATGGTAAAACTAATGAGTCTTTGAGATTTAAGAATTAAAAATTTCATGTTATCCACTGGTTTATCAGTTGTATCCTTACCAGAGAAAAAAACCATGCAGTGTAGATTTTGGATCACTTCATTGCTTTTTCATTTTCTTAAGTGAAATTACTGATGATGTTTTTGAAAGAGTCAACAACTTTAACAGGACTTTAATGATCAAGAACCTTAGTGCTGACGGCAGGAGAGGCCATTCAACCCTAATAGCTGTCATTCCTTTGAAACAAAAGGCTTACCCTTATTGCAATTTTGGCAAAGCTAGAAGGGCTAAATGAGGATACTGGCAGAGAAGAAGTGCCTAAGTATTTGGGATAAAAGAGAAGCAGTTCCAATGAATGGTAATAGGTGTCCTCCATGTAGACACTTTCTCATATTTCTGAGGGAAAGGTAAAAATGACCTTTATGTAGTACTTACTATATTCCCCGACTATGCAAGACTATTATGTAATCCTATAAGGTAGGAAGGCAAAACTGTAGGCCAGTGTGTTATTGAAAACTAGCCATTTTGACCATCATAACAACTTGAAACAAGATAATGAGAACACAAAAATAGTCCTAACCATGATTCTATCTGTTCATAAATATGATAGCTGTATTTAATATCAGTCTTTCTCTTCAGTAATGATTAATAAATATTGTGTTTAGTATTGTAAATAAAATGATGCATCAGATACTCACTCTATCCTATCCTTAAAGTTAAGGTCGTTATAGTTTGGTAATTAATGGGTTTCATCTTTTAGTACCAGGATCTAGTTTAGTTATCAGTGAATGTCTAGAAAGATGTACTAAAAGTGTTTTTTTCCTCTTGAAAGTTGAAACCTACTAATAGTGTATGCAGTCATTTTAGTGAGTCATTTTAAAAAAGAAAAGACTAGAAAATATGAAAGTACATTGCTTGAAGTAAAGTTAAATGCAGAATTATGAAACTTGTATATACTGGGTTATGATATAAAATACTGTGGTCATAATCAAAAAGCCACTGCTCTGAATAGTGAAGGAGAATGAATGTATGCTGAGACATGAATAAGAGATAGAATTTGAATCTACGGAAAAAATAAGGGAAGGGGTTAGTGTAATTAGAGCCATAGAAGGTGACATCATAAGCTGTGTTCAGGAAAGAGTGAGTAGACCATATTGAGTGGAAGAGCAGAGTCTGTCAAATAACAGTAGGAAATGAGGCCAGAAAGATGTTTTGGAATTAAATTGTGCAATGTTATTAAATGTTAAGGCATTTGGATTTTCTTTTGTTGGTAGTAGAGATCATCAAAGCATTTATTAAAAAAAAATAAGTATGGTCTAGGTGAGACTGATGTAGAT